TGCGGCTCAAGATTTGTTAATCAATGAGCTTCTAAGGGAATAAAAGAAAACTTGTTCTCTCTGACTTTCCAAGAACGAATAGCAGATCAATTTTATTTCATTTCTAAGGTATTTCTGCTTGAACCCAGTGACAAGTCATGAATCATGTATATTTTCTTGATTTAAATACCTTCTGTACAGATCAAAAGAGCCAAAATTTCTGTTTGAAAGTTTTTATACTAGTCAGATATGTAAAGGGTAGTAGCCATGATCTGGCTACATCAACCTCCAAAGAGCACGATGAATTCATTAAATAAATAAGGCTGATCGGATTGCCCCCTGCTGGTCTAATCTATATTTGCGTGCAAAAAGGCAAATTCCAAAATTGTTAATTGGTGTGATTACTGCTTTGTGGACAATTTAAAATCAGGCCCCAATTAACCAGTATAGCTGACAAAATCTTCAGCAAGCTGAATGGGCCAACACAACCACAATGCTGCAAGATCCATAAATGGATTTCCCTGCAACTTTCTAGAAAAGGTATAAGCAAATGCATGAAGCACAAAATGAGCATGGGACCATGGTTAAGGGGAAAGAAGTTTACTCCCCACACATATATCAAAAGCCAAATACAAGTTACTGGTATTTGGTTAGCCTAGATTTCCCTAACAAGACTTTTTTATATAGACTTTTATGCTAATTGTTCATTGTGTCGTTATTTTGTATTGTAGTTTTTTATATTAAAAATATTTTTTAAAAAAGTTTACTCCCCACACATATCATCCCCCCCACCGGCTAGCAGTACTGGGGGAGGGTGAAGGGTGTCAGCTTTAAGTGCCAAAAATGTACCGGGGAGGTAAATTCCTTCTGTTCCCTGGACTGAAACCCTCATCTGCACTGGGGTACCACATGGTTATTTCCCTTTTTTGAAATGTGCTCCGATCCACTCCAATGGTTTATCAAGTCTGACCAATTAAACCCATATATACTACAGGGATAAATTAGCTCTCTGCACAAGAAATGCACATTTTCTCAATTTTTTTCCTTCTAAACAATTTGTAAAAACAGGCAACCAAAACAAGCAGTGTTTAGTCAAAAGGGTGTCAAGTTTGCTGGCGTAGATCTCTCACAGAACAGATGACACACAATATTAAACATAGTACAATAAATACCTCTGAACCTTGAATTTATTCTTGCACAGTTATTTTGGGGTCAGTATATAACTTGAATATTCTATTTTACTACACTGGATAAAGACAAAAACAGTCGATGTCCTCCTAGTAGTGACTGGCAGCTGTTGCTTAAGAAAACAACCCTTGCTCTATGAATGGAGTGGAAGCTCAGGCGATGATCAGGGCCAGGATGACGCTTCATGGCATCCCCCTGAGCTGCACTATGGACTGTTTTGGAGTGGGAGGGCGCGAGTGGCTGCAGAAGGACAGAGAAGGTGGCAAAATCCCGTCTGTGCACTTGCTCCATTTGCAGAGCAAACTCATTATAAAGTCATTTTCGGAGGAGCTGAGGAAACCAATTGCATACATGTTGGTATTTCAGAACCGAGAAAAGGAGGAGGAGGAGAAGCTCAGAGGAGAGTCTTCCCACCACCGACTGAAAAGCTTAAATTAGCTTCCCTACTCAATGCAATGGTGGCACTGACCAACACAGCTGGCATCTTGGTTTGTTATAAAAACCCTGGGCTTGTGTTCTATGTAAGGGAAATATTTTTTTTTTAAAGATCTAATTCTAAGTTGGTAGAGCTTATCCTCCTTTTAGAGCAGGGAAATATAGCCTCTTTCCAGTCCAATTGGAGGATCCCTGTTTTCTCAGCAGAAGTTAGAGGAGTTCCAGTTTTCATGGTGCACGGCATCCTTCTCTCTTTAAACACACCAGGGCTCCCTCTGATGCTCTGCATTTTAGGATCTCCTTTTCCAGAAGTCCAGATAAATCTGAAGGGGAAGGAGGAGAAGTTCCTACTGCTCCAGAGCATGGAGAAACTGTGTTAGCACAAAACACATACAACTTAATTCTTACAAGATCACATAGTTTACCAGAAGCTGCACATATGTGAGTACATTACCACATTTAAATTAAAATTACACTTATAACCCCCCTGAATCTGACATTAAAATCTAACATATTGTTTGAGTCAACAATAAATAATATTCTGAGCCAACAGTAGCATGACAAGATCACTACATAAAGTTTTTCCTTCACACAGCACTGGGACACAATATACTGTATTTCAATGGCAGTCATATCCACAACAGGGTTCTAACTAGGAGAGAACTAAAAAAGTGGCATAAATAGCAATGGGCCACAATATCTGGGCCCTCCATTCTGTTCCGCTTTGCATCTAGCATCTGAACTAAACTAATTCTTTACACTATTACAAAGTAGTGTTTAGTGTGATGAAAAACACCAGTTATAAAGCAAACATGTTTACTAACAGAAACTGAATGGCTATGTTGGAAGAATATTTCATGGAGAGATGCAATATGATTACTTCTCAGATTAGGCCACTTGTACATGTTCAACAAATATGCATAGCTGCATTCCTTGTGGGCTGGTTGATGCAATCCATGGTCTCCACTCAGTTGACTGTAGCAGTGTGTATGCCACAACTGGACTTGCATCTATGCTAGGATCACATGGAAGCATTAACTGTCACTGCTAGATAGAAGCTTCACTTGCACTAAGAGTGATTTGCATGACTGGAGCAGCCCTTTTTCAAGAAAAGGGGGGAAGGGGATAAATCATCCCTAACTGCAAAGAAAAACATGTCTATTTAGGAAGATTATTTTAAGTACAATACATTTGTTTTCTCTCGTGTCCCTGGGGTGCTTTCCCTTTTTTGAGATGCTCACAACCTAGTACAATCCTGGTTGTTTTACCCAATCACATAAGGACTGGCAGCAGTTTGAACCAAGAAATAAACACAGGCATTATATCCATTAGGAACCCCTTGGCAGGTAGAATCCACCATGGCTGTTTATGATATATGAACACCACAATAAAGTTTTAAAGGCTAACTGAAGAATGCAACAAATTTTGAATAGTTGAAGTCTAACTCTCTTATTTAAAAATTGAAAATTACCAGGAAGTGCGTAAAGACAGCTTATGCTTCACTAGAAAGTATGCACCTTCAGAGATCAAAAGAGTTATGGTTAGGCACAGGAAATGTTTGTCAGAAAGTTCATTCTGTTTGTGTAAATGTAAATTCTTTGCAGAATTTCCCCCCTGTAAAGCACACTTTATAAAGGATGTTCTGGCACAACAGTCACTTTTATGTAGGATTTGCATGAATTCCACATTTTGTGTGTGTGTATATATATATGTGATGTGATGTGGCCCATGGGGTTGCGACGAGTCGGACTCAACTGTGCAACTTAACAACAACAACATATATGTGATAAATCTACATTTTGTTAGATGATGCAGTCATGTGCCATGTATTAGTTTGTGTAACACTAATTACCATGTCAGAAAATGTTGTGTAGGAAGTACCTTAATACAAAGATGGTATAGCAACAATTTAAGATATTTATACAATTAAAAAGTATGATCTGCTGTAGAATAACAGCTGAATTACATGCATTTCTCACAACGAATATTAAGAGATATTAATTAAAAACAACATAAAATATGATAATGAAAACTAGCTTTAGTATGAATGCAATTTGTATAGTTACTATTTTTAGGCTTTCATAATAATAGAAGTGTCTGAGCAAAATAATTATCTTATGATTCTCACACTAACGGCAAATCTAGCAGTTATATTGCCAAAGAAATTTGATAATGTATTTCCAGTTATATACAGTGCAATACTAAGTGGACTGACACCATTCTATTGAAGTCAGTGGTGTAACTTTGTGACTGTACTGAAACCATCCTGTAACAGAAGTCTTAGGTCTGCTATGCAAACCTAAAAACAAGACTCTTCTATCTAGCTGTTTACTTTGGCAAATCATTAAAGTAAAAACAAAACTGAAAAAACTGTATATTTGGGATAGAAAATTTATACTGCTGGGTAAAATGAACAAACACACATATATTGTATATAACAATTACGTTCAGAATGCAAGTCTTATAACCTCCAGGTCTTCTGTGGTTTGAATTTACTCCTCAAGAAATGTGGAAAAGACAATTCAACCAAAGGCACAGATTTCATTTTGAAGGAAACCAAATCAGTAATGCTGTGTGTTATAAAACCAGGTATAAAACTTGAACTTTTGTATGGATATACATCTGTACGAGTCCAGCAGGTTTTAAAAGACAACTGGAGCATAACTGTCAGCAAGACCAGTAGTGAAAAGTCGGAATGATAAAGATTACCAAGGAATCACAGGTTGACATCATGTGCAATATGTACTTAAATTCTTTGTTTTTAATACTAATGTACAATTTAAAGACAGCACTAGACATTAATTGTTATAAACTATATATGCACATTTCCCCCATTTATAATCACTCGCAAATTAAGTCAGCATTCTAATTTTTATTTCCTGTTTACTGTTATCCAATACATCTACAGTGTATGGAAAATTCATATGGACTTGCTAGCAAAGTTGATAAAAATAGTCCATCTTCTAACAGAACTCTTTCTTTCAACTGAAATAGTTGCATCAATGATACAGACTAGATACCTCCTGGCGTCAAAGGCTGGTGAGATTTATATCCTGTTGCCTGAATACACGCTGGTCTCTTCACTCTGGAAGAAATGTCGAGTTCATGCCCTTTTACTACTCTTCATATATACCTTCAAGTAACTAAACAACCACCTTATGTATTAAAGCACATTGTGCAATTGCTCTTAACAAGTTTGATTCAATACGTTTAACAATATATCACTATACAAAAGCCAAGGAGAGAATCTTGAATTTTTAAAGAATTCTTTCAAGTTCATTCAAATAAATAAGTCATTGTCTATGTCATGCTAAGTTTTTATCTCCCTATTTTTTTTTTACCTGGCTTTCTTTTGTTTCCTTTTCTTATTCAGTTTCCATACTTTTGCTAAGAAGACCATTAACATGTCATTGCTTCAACACAAGGCAAGACGGACTGGATTCTCCAAGTTAGCTTTAAGGCTTTTCAGAAATTTTGAAGCAAGTTCATCATCCACCATTCGGCCATCGCTGGACAGAGTCACTGTCATGAGTTGGTGTTGCTGCAGTCTCTCATTCCCTTCTTCATCCACCACAACCCCAAGTTCCATTCGAGTTCGTCCCACAGCTAAGAAACAGGCTTGAGGAGGGTTTACAGAACCAATGAAGCTGCTTACGCCAAACATGCCAAGATCTGAAATGCTGGGGTGGGGGGGAAGGAGAAAAGACATCAAAGGGTAAATATAAACATGGCAATCATAGGGGAAACAAATCTAGGGAATAGCCATGGATTAATTCAAATGTAGGAATGATTAACAAAAATGTAATACGATAAATGATACTTACAAATTTTGTTTAACGCTTTGTGATCCAGTACAGATCACTGTTTCTAAAATCATGGAGGTTCAGGAGGTTTGTGAAGCAGTTCACGAAGCCAGACATGCTGGCGCCAATGAATTAATTGCTAGCAGCCATTAAATCGGACAGTTTCACTCCTCCCACTTGGAAGGAGGGAGGAAGCAAAACTGACCCCACTGGCTCCCAGCCATTTAAACCTAACAGCATGGCAGGTCCACCTGTCAGCTGTTAGGTTTAAATGGCCAGCAGCCATTAAACTGGTTCCCCCCTGCCAATCTGCACAAAACTTAGAGGGTAGGTAGAGGGGCACCCCAGGGAGATCTGCTGCAAGTTTGATGCCTCTAGCTTGCAGGGGGGCTGTTTGACACACTGCTTCCACTTTTGCACATTGAACTCTAGGATCTTCCCCTCCCACAAAGCCAATCTGCACATAACTTGGAAGGCAGGTATAGGGACATCCTGGGGAAATCCACTGCAACTTTGATGCCTCTAATTTTGGGGGGGGGGGCATCTGACAGACGACTCCATTTTGCACATTAGACTCTAAGATCTTCTCCCCCATGCCAATCTGTACACAACTTGGACGGCATACAGAGGGGCATTCCAGGGAGGTCTGCTGCGACTTTGATGCCTCTAGTTGCAGGAGAGCCATTTGACAGACTTCCCCCTTTTGCGCTTTGGACCCTGGGATTCCCCCCAAGCCAATCTGCACATAACCTGGAGGGCAGGTAGAGGGAGATCCCTGCAAGTTTTATGCCTCTAGCTTGCAAGGGGACCATTCAAAAAGAGCATTTTCCTGGGGGCACCTGCTTTGGGGGGCTGTAACTTAGCCATCCGAAATCCCATCCTCATCAAACTTGGAGGGCAAGTAGAGGACAGTCAGCTAGAGATTCACTGTGTTTGGTGTTTCTATTCCACAAGGGGACCGTTCTACCATGCCATGAACCTCACAAACCCTGAACTGGTTTGTTAAATGGAAAGGTTCATGAAAGTTCATGGTTCATGAAACCCCACAAACCTTGAACCTTCACAAACCTCAATTTTCCTGGTCTGTGCTCATCCCCAGTCCTCACCATTCCTCATTCATGTTAAAATGGTCAGATGGAATTGATTATATGCCTTTCTCCACAACCACCACTCAAGGCAGTTCACAACAGTGAAACCCAATAAATGTGACCTGTAATAAAATTTTAATTTGATCTCCAAACCAATCTTACTAGCTAAAAAAGAAATTAAACTACAGAACATGAACAACCCTAAAACAAAATAGACAGCAACCAATGAAAATCATAACACAGTCACATGAGGACAACAAAAGCTATGTAATTTATTGCAATTATTAGAAATCTAGCTTTTGATAACAGTCTCAGTATGTGTTATTTTGCTACAGACAAACAAAGAAGGTTGGAATCTACTAAAAATAAAACATCTAAACTTATTGGTGAACAGTACATAGGTTTATAGCTTCAGAAAAACACATGTGATAAGATGCACTACTATGAACAATGCACAGCTGCAGACAAGCCCTTCTACCAGTAACCAGGCAGTTTGGTGCATAAAAGGATACTAGCCCTGCATTAGGCACATGGAATTTATTCCAGGACTACTAGGTGGATACATCAGGATGCATGGCATGAGGCCATATCATTCTGCTCCCACATCTACAAACTGAATATAAACAAGTATGCAAGAGAGAATCAGGGGTAACCAATGATGGGGAATAACAGGCACAAAATGAAATTTTCCAAAACAATTACCCAACATCCCACAGAAAAGAAAAAACGGGTATGTATATAACATGATGGAGCTGCGGTGGTTCAAGTGGTTAAGATGCTGAACTGCAGGCTGTGGAAGGTCAGTAGTTCAGCAGTTCGAGACCCGGGTGCTGCATGATGGAGTGAGCTCCCATCTCTAGTTCCAGCTCCTGCCAACCTAGCAGTTTGAAAGCAAGAAATTGCAAGTAGATAAATAGGTACCACTTCTGTGGGAAGGTAACAGCGTTCCGTGCGCCTTGGTGTTTAGTCATGCCGGCCACATGACCACGAAAACGTCTTCGGACAGCGCTGGCTCTTCAGCTTTGAAACGGAGATGAGCACCGCAACCCTAGAGCCAGATTTGACTGGCTTTCGAGCAAGGGAACCTTTACCTTTTTTATATATAACATGATATTGGAATGCGTAGCATGTGCTCCAAACTACTGCCACTCCCATACACATACTCATACCCTTTCATAGGCACTCACATAATGTAACTAGGACCACAGTCTAGAGCAGGGGTGTCAAACTCATTTGTTATGAGGGCCAGATCTGACATAAATGAGACCTTGTTGGTAATGCCAAGTAGAAGAGATATAAAGTTTATAAAGGACACAAACACAACAGGTTTTTTTTACTTAAAATAAAAACATGCTTAAAATATTAGCACTCTTGCAATATTGTGTTTATTTAACAGTGTCTGATAATTGACACCTCTTGCTCTGAATTATTGCCTCCAAATGTCTGTGCTGTTGCAATCTTGAGTATGCTGTTCAGGTGTGTATCTGTAAGCAGAAAACCTACAATGACGCAGCAGAACTGGAAGAAGAAGCAGAAGACAGCCAGTTCCACTGCGGGCCTGATAGCAGACCTCCAGGGGTCTCATCTGGCCCCCGGGCCACATTTTTGACACCCCAGGTCTAGAGGTAAGAGGAATTAGAAGAAATTAATTCCATACACACATGCAGCTTGCAAGAGCAACAACCTTCAGATACACACAGCTGTCTCAGGCCCTGATTGTTAAGCAAACCAGGCCCGAGAATTTATTTTTATTTCAGCAAAGTTCTTATTGTTACATCCTTGGAAAAATAATTGTGAATCACTGGATGCTTGCCCAGAAATAAATCTTGCAATGTGAAGAACGAACAAACCACTAGTTTGCAACATGCAGTTCTATACGGAAGTCAACTCTGAACTGCTTACATCTTAGAATCAAAGGAGACAAATTAAATGGTCTTGATAGACTCATTTGAGTTTTACATAATTGGGTCTAAATCGCCACACCCAAAACACCTCTGAATCTCTCAGATGTGGACTGCATGAGACTATCTAATCTCTCTGAAAGTGCCTCAGAAATTGTACTACATCCTTTAATCTTAATATGGATAGGATAAGGGATATGTATATCTGATTCTGATTTAATTTGCGTGTGCAAGTATTTTTGTATCTGTGGTTCTTTCATATTTCATTTCAAGACGCATCAGATTGATTTTAATAAAAATCTTAAAAGATAAATGTGAGTGATCTTTGGCTGGGTTTCAAGGTTTTCACTTGACCCCTGGAATAAATAAACTTCTAACATCTCTTCAGTCAGAAGGCTGTAATCTGTAGAGATGGGGTATCAAAGAGAGTAGCCATCTCAATATAGCCCTGTGGTTTAGGGGTTAATGTGTTGCTTTAGAACAGGTGAAGACACTCTTTGTTTCCATGTGTCTGTTTTAAAAGAAATGTTTCCCTTGGGGGGCAGGAGGTTAATACACCGTTACATAGCTTCTAAGAAATACAAGAATGATTTACAAATCCTGTATTTCCCCCAGCATTCTTTGTTGTTCTCTTTCATACTCCATCTTTTTATGATTTAAGACTCTTCAAGTTCTTATTGTCAGAGATTTCTACTTCATCTAAAATAAACTAATATACTTACACAAATGCCTGGGATAAGTCTGTATGATCTCAAGCATATTTGGACACAGACTGACACTAAGTCTGGAAAGACTATTAACTTGGACTGGGGGAAGAGAAAGAGTTCCAAGAGCACAAATAGCAGTCTGAGTGTTATCTAGACACATATCATTTTAATAGCTGCCCAGTGCCCTTCTCTTTTCCTTCTTAGAGCTTCTTCAAGTCCCCCCAACCCCTCACTTCTCTTTTAAAACCATGCAGAACCAATTTTTAGTTAATCAGATCAACATGTCAGAAGCCTGGGAAAGTGACAAAAATTTGGACAGCCTCTCTGAAACCTGGGAGAGAATCAGGTTGGATTCAGAGGACGTTTGCCTCTCATCTGAGGAAAAAAGTCAGAGGAAAGCAAAGCTCATTCCACAGCAGAAAAGATCACAGCAACCTCCACTGGTAGATAAACCTGCATGCAATCGAAGATTACAAGAAGTTTAATTAAGTTCAACTGGTCTACTTGCTCTAGATCACACATATTTAATTGCACAAGCTCACACAGTAATTCTATGGGATGTGGAACAAAGTTAGAGTCCGGTGGCACCTTTAAGACCAACAAATGTTTATTCAAGGTATGAGCTTTCATGTGCAAGGCACACTTTTTCAAATACATTGGAATGGTAGATGAGGTTGTTAGGTCCATGTCTCGAACAACTCCTCATCCACAATAATGCAACATCTCATTTGAACATGGACACTGGAACCAGAGCTTGCAATAAACCCAGATGCCAACTTTGCTGCTCATGCCTTGAATAAACCTTTGTTGGTCTTAAAGGTGTCACTGGACTCTAAATTTGTTCTACTGCTTCAGACCAACATGGCTGACCATCTGGATCTCTCTGTATGGGCTGTGATAAGTCATACAATAAAGAGTTAAAATACCTGAAAGATCCTCCTTGGTATTCTTCTGGTAGCAATTTTCCATCTTTCGCTTTTGTTGCTAGCGCCTAAATAAAACCCAAAGTATATTAATAAGCATAAGTTTCAGAAACATGAAAGAAAATGGATTAGTAAAATTAAGATGCTTTTAAACATATTTTGCTCATATAAGTATTTCTGTCAGCCAGCTGTTTTCCTAAATGATTAGTCATCAAGTGATTCAGCCAGCTGTCACAATTTGTGACAGCAGAACTGCAAACTGTATCTTCCGGGAATAGGCTTATATTCCCATACTGGAGGGTTGATCACTCTGGAACGTCCATGGTGATTTCTCTGTTAGCTTGGCTCTCAAAACCTCACTGTATACTGTAAATTGCCTTAGTCAATATTTTTCCTTATGGACAGCTTGTTTTGTATTCAACAGCTAGCCATGCAAACAACAAGAAGATTCCAACAGAGTTGTTGAACATATTTTCTCTGTATATACTGCTCCATTCTAGAGGATGTATCCAGTAGTCAGCATGTCCCCATCTATGGTCTTGGTCTTTTAGTGTTTCAGAAAACAGAGCATAGAGATTGCCTTCATATTCACAGACATGCTCAGTATCAATGAAAAATAATATATTTCAAAAAATCTATTTATTAGTAAATATTAAAATGAAACAACAAATACTTGATCAAAACCATTATGAATAACCACCAGTTGTCATTGCCAGGAAATACCACCCAGTATCAGCCATCTGAATAAGATTTTATGCACTGCCACATAAGCAAGAACCTATGAGTTGGGATAACAGTGCCAAATCATTGCCTCTGAGAAGTAACGAAACCATAATTTCCTATGATTTCACATGGTAAACCTGGTCACATGAAACCATCATAAATTGCATCACTATAGCTAAAACACTTTAAAAACGAGATACGCAGAGACTGTTCAGAACAAGAATTCAGATTTATTGTAACTGAAATGTTATAAAAGCCACCCAAGTATTTGTTGGACAGGTGTTATTTCACTGATCACTGGATATTCCAAGTTATATGTTCTATCCCATGATGAATAGTGATGTAAAAGAAACAGATTGCACAGCAGGCAATCATAGATAAAGCTGGGCTTTCTGTTAGCTGATTTGAATCGATTTGTGACTGGAAAAGTGGTATAATTTACTTTAGCTGCTTATAAAATTAAATTATATTTAACTGACGAGTCATATGCTTATTACAATAACTAAAATTTAAAAAATTGTTTACTATTTTACATACCCAAACAATTTTTTATTTTAAAATAGTCTTCATGCAATGCATACATTCTAAATTTCTAATATCTTTATCCTTAGTTATTACACAAACATATGAAATATAACTAAGAAGCACAACTACAAAGTTTAGTGAAAGCCTATGGATTAGTGATGGCTAAACACCTTGCAATAAGTTTGCAATTAGATCACCACTTACAAATTCTTAAAGATTGATTTTAGAGATAATTAAAAAGCAGTTTAGAATTAGATTCTGCAGTTTAGAATACAGAATCCTTATATTTAAAGTCATCCGTGGCCTTGCAATCCTCAACAGTTTATTACATCCTCTACTATGACCGTAACCTCTCCAGGTCCACAGCTTATTTGAGGATCACCTGCTCCAACAGACTATTCCCCTTTCTCCCTTTCTCTCCTTATCCCTTCCAGTGCATTTGTGTGACAACACTTCCCTTATTTCCTTCAAATACTTCTGACCTTTAATGGATTAAGTGGCTTGGGCCCGGAGTATCTCAGGGACTATCTACCTGTACTGTCTGACCCACAACTTGAGATGTGCACATGGGGCTTTCCTTAGGGAAATAGTTTGTTAGAGGCCTGGTTACCTGGGACCTGAGGGAGGGTGTTCTCTGCTGCCAACCCCCCTCCCGATATGCCAACTTTCACTGCAAAAAAACCCCAAACCAATGGGTATTCAGTTCAATCCTGATAAAGATAATCAATCATCTATATACTTTTAGTGATAGGTGGCCCCCATCTGTGAATACTTACATCTGCAGATCAGGGCTGCACAGCCTGGGGCTCTGTGCTGGGTCTGGTGATGGTGGCTGCACAGTCTGGGTCTCTGGCGGCTGCACAGCCCAGACTCCACACTGGGAGTCAAGCTGGGCACAGGCTCAGAAATCATGCTGGGAGCAGGCCCAGTGAGAAAGTGGGGGGAGGGAATCCACCCGCAAGTATAGTGGGCCTGCACTTGTACATTCTAATAGCAAAGTCAGTCAAATCTGAGGATTCTTAATCCGGTGACTGGAGCTGTGAACATGCAAGATGGTTCTTTCTATAAACCTGAACAATGCCCCAGGTTTTCACAAAAATCTGAAATCTTAAAAACCCCCAGCAACCATTGAGGGAGTTAAAAAACCACCAAAAATGATAAAAGGAACTCCTGTAGCTTTAACAAACGGATTTCCTGTAGCTTTAACAAACGGATTTCCTCAGTGGCTGTTGCTAGGCAAACACACAATTCCAAGGCTTGATTTCTGTGAGTAAAAGGCAGGGGGAGGGGGAGGGTCCCTTCCAGATTGTTTTGGCTTTTGAGGGAAGACTGATAGCAACTACTGGCTGCCTTGATACCATCTGACTTGCGTGACTCACCCAGGCATGGCTACTGGCTACTCTTCAAAAGCAGCCACCTTATAAAAACCAGTGTGGTATAGATGTTGGAGCTTCAGAATAGGGTCTGGAAGACCCAGGTTCCCCATCTTGCTATGGAAGCTCACTGGATGAATTTGGACCAGTCATATACTTTCAGCAGGGGTCATTTCATAGAAAAAGAGGTGCAGGAACTCATTAGCATAACTCATTTGCATATGCCACACCCCCTGACATCACCGGAAGTGTGTCAGAAGGGAACACCCACCACTCAGGCTCCACTGAACTGTTTTGGATTGCTAGCTATTGGGGGGGGGGAACGTGCAGATCTGTCCTCATAGAGGAGGGAGAGCTTATACCTGAATAAAACTTGGTCTTAAAGGTGCCACTGGACTGTTTTGGACCGGGGGGGGGGGTGTTCTGCAGCTTACCTGGCTGCTTCTTGCTCTGACTGAGGGCTGCTGGGAGCAGGGGGTGGGGCTTGTTGCATGTGCCCGCCCCCTGGGCTCTTTACTGCCGGAGCTCCGCTCCTGTGCGCTCCTGCAGGAAATGACCCCTGACTTTTAGCCTAATCTACCGCACAGGATTGTGGTGTAGATAAATAGGAGGAGAGGAGAATAATGTAAGTGGGTTTGAGCCCCACTGTAGAGAAAGGTGGGATATAAAGACAGTAAATTAATAATAAATATAGCTGAAGATGGGAGGAAAATAATAGGTCATTTGATGAATGGTTGAGAAGGAGAGAATGAACAGGGAAAGTGGAGAAGATATGAGGATTTTCAGGAAGTGGGTGAGAAGGACAGAAGGAAGCAGGTAGATGTTGCCAGGAGGAGGGAAAGATGAAATAGTGTGGGGAGGGGGAATACAGGGGAAAGTGATGTGCCCTCCCACAAGTCCATGAGGGTTCTCTACTTTGAAAGTGGGCCCTGGCCCAGCAAGCGAGCACCAAAGAACTGGGCCATATTTTTCCTAGGTGGAGGCTGCTGGGAGGGGGAAGCGTAAGACAGAGGGGCTGATAAGTTGGCTGTTGGGTGGGAAGGAGAGAAGGAAGCAGGAAAAGGGGAGAAGTTAAGGGGGCTTTCAGTGAAGGGAAAGAAGAAATAGTGAAGGAGGAGAAATAAGATGTCCCCTGCAAGCCCTTGCGGGTTTCTGCTTGTTGTAAACTTAATTCATATTGATGTCGAGAAGTACAGATTCATTACTTTACTAGTTTGAATCAATGATCTGTGAAGGAACTGGTTACAGAACACCCCCTCCAGCACTTTCTTCCCACTGTTATAGACTATCATGGAGGGTCTGTGGACTACAGTGATGATGAAGGGGGTAAAATTGCCCTTCCCACTTTTCCTGTCAATGGAGCTCTGCTGCAGCCCACTAACTTGGGGTGTGTATGTGTGTGACTTTTTAAAAGTTTAGAGGTGCTGTACAAACAGCTGAAGGACTGTGAAGAGTTATATTAACAGAAACAGAGAGCCTTGTGTGACAGGCTGTTCCAAGCAATCTGATTGGTTTAGCATCAGCTGAGCACAGAAAGACCTGAGAGCTGCATGTGGAGGAGTCAGTCATATTTCTACCTTGACTGAGTTGAGTCTGATTTCAGCCTTAGCTGAGAGCAGTCTTACACAGATTGAGTACTGGGGGAAAGTTGGCAAGAAAGTTTGGGAAGGTAGGCAAAGAATTCCATTTGGGCCGAAGAAAGGGGATAGATCTTCTAGTGAGAGCAGAATTTCCCTATTCATATTGATGTCGAGAAGTACAGATTCATTACTTTACTAGTTTGAATCAATGATCTGTGAAGGAACTGGTTACAGAACACCCCCTCCAGCACTTTCTTCCCACTGTTATAGACTATCATGGAGGGTCTGTGGACTACAGTGATGATGAAGGGGGTAAAATTGCCCTTCCCACTTTTCCTGTCAATGGAGCTCTGCTGCAGCCCACTAACTTGGGGTGTGTATGTGTGTGACTTTTTAAAAGTTTAGAGGTGCTGTACAAACAGCTGAAGGACTGTGAAGAGTTATATTAACAGAAACGTAAGAACTAAAGTCTGTGCATGTACTGATTTTACCTCAGAGTTATTTATATTGAGTTACCTCATGAATTTCAACCCTGATTTCACCTGACCTTTCCCCTCTATGTTGAATAAAATATTTTGTTAATTTTGCAATTCAAAATGTCTCAAATGACATTTTCAGTGGTTTAAGTCAAAGGGTGATCCCAACCCTTCATTCAGGTTCCTGGGCTGAGCCAGCAGTAAAATATCATACTGAGACAGGGTGGGACAGCCAGAGTTCTTCAGGAAAGAAGAAAACAGATCACTAGGGCTGCTCAGTCAGAAAGGGAAAGAAAAACAAAAGGAAAATCTTTCATCTGAAAGGAAGGGAAGTGGACAGGGGAAGGGAAGGGAAAGGAAGGGAAGTGGACATATGGGTCCTGAAATCCCGATAATCAACTTTCCTGATGCCAGTACGGACTGCTGTGGCAAGGGGAAAGCAGGGAAGATCTGTGATCCTTGCATGAGATCTAACCCACAGTCTAATATCATATTTCTCTTTTATAAAGAAACAATACACAGGATCTAGTGGAAGAATCCCAGTGTGTAACAACTTAGGTCAAGGCAATATCCCTGAGGCTTATTTCTACTTTCACTAGTGCTAGCAATAATCCCAGAAGTAAAAAAAAAAAATGACATAACTCTTATGAGTAAGAGAACAATCTATACCTTCTAATACCTGGATTGAAAAAAATCCAAATAATTTTGCTCTCTTTAGTGTCATCTGTGGAATACCAAAGGTAATGGAGGGCCCTTGCTTGTACGAAATTCTTTGTATGTACAGCCTTTAAAGAACTATGCATGTGTGCAAAACAAGCATGCTGTTTCAGAGATCAAAATATTAAACTGGATTGTTTTGTCCAGTTATACCACATCTACCGGTTGAAAATTAATACTTTGTGGCAACTAGATAAAATAACAAGCATAAACATTTCAGCAAAGGCATCTCTGCTCCATGTGAGAAATTTAATAACAGGCCATTAAACAATTTAAAAATGACTTGCAAATTACTATACTGTCACAATTTCAAATTATCTATATGGATGAATCTATAGGAAAGCAAATAACTGGCTCTCACAGTTAATACTAATCATCTGGGCAGGACTCTAGGATACCAAATATTTAGCAGTGCCTTCAATGACCGCTTTCAAAAGGCAGTAAATGAAATACACAAAGCAATAATGAGAAAACCCAGTACTTGTCGAAAAAGGGGTATTTCCCCCCCTTTGAGAATTAGTATTATCCTCTTTGTGTTTTTGCTTAAAATGGTACTCAAAGTTAATCTCTCTTTTAGGAACTTTAAAATAAATGTAGGGCAGAAACTAAATGTATTTGTTGACTTTAATCTCAATTAAAATCCCTGAATGTTTGCCAGGAAACAAAATAAGATACAGTAATTCCTGTGGAATGGGACATTATCACAGATGTTTCATATCCAGAGGAGAACAGCTTGAAAGCATGCTGAAGGAACTTTCTTTTTGAGGCACATCCTATACTTGGTTGCAAAATCTATGTGCTTTCTATTCCACTCCTCAAGATTACCAAGTAAGTGGCAACCAACCTTCACAGAAGCAGCAATTTCCTGAACTCCCTTGGTTGCTGCATCTTTTATAATTGGTGTAATGAAACCTTGGTCTGTTGCTACAGCAATTGAGATGTCTACAGATTGCAGCTGCCGGGGGCCCTCTCCATCCCAGATCACATTCACATCTGGCATTTGCTGGAAGAAGGAAACACAATGAGATACAGCTGTTAAAAGAATAATGGTTCAACCAATTACTAAGTATAAGGAAAACCTTTTAGAATTTATGGAGAGATAGGCATTCACATCTGTGCACAGGTTATTAATACAAGGTTAATAACAATGACAAAAGATTTGCCATGCACAACTCTGAACAGATTTCAATTATTAGCTGGTATCCAAGCATGTCTACTTTGTCACAAAGTATGAATGTACATTGTAAACATGGAAACCATATAGCTGGGGGCAGCCAGAAGGAGTGATAAACCTATACAGTTGCTGAGCTGTTGGTGAATTATTAACAGAATGGAATATCCTTTCAGATATCAACTCTCAACTGTGGATACCTGGGAAACAAGTCTTGTAGCAGCCTACCCCAATCATAAGGATTTCCTGTCCACACTTTGATTAGAGAAGAAAAATACTGCTAAATATTTTAAAGGAAGGAAATGTAACTGGTGTCTGTGTCAAATGTAACTGGTTAGAAGAGCTAATTTTTTAACAAGTGTGAAACTTCTTAATTTCAAATGTGACATTTTATAATTAGATCGAAATATGTCTCAAACATGTTGTGATAAGGCTTAAGGCAGTAATGCTAAATACCAACTTGCCAAATGCAATACTACTTTATTTTTGTTAACTCCCTTAAATACCAATAGCTACTTTAACTGAAAAAGAAATGTCTACTTTTTCCTTGCAAATAAATCTAAAATAGGATAATTTGACATTTCTGACTTGGACGTTGACTTGGATCCTAAAAAGCACACATATGTGGTTGTGGATCCCCCAATGGCTCTCTTGAGACCTCCAAAATGCTGCTTTTAGAAGCTGGAGGAAGTAACATGGACAAAAGGCTATGCAGCTTGGGTGGGGCCGCAATGAAGTGGGGGGAATCCAGCTAGCATTGCTCTTGTGCCCAGGGCCAGCTCTATCACTAGGCCAACCTCGGCGGCTGCCTAGGGACACAGACATTAGGGGGCGCAGAGATGCTCCTTCAGAAAAGGCACCCCTTCCGCGGCCACTTCCTCAGAAAAGGCGCCCCTTCCACGGCCCTCCCTCCGGATGCCTGAGCAGGGGCGGGGTGAAATTTGAGGGTGCCCTCCTGCCCCCACCATCTTCCCTTCAATGGTGCCCTCCTGCCCCCACCATCTTCCCTTCCACCCCGGCAACCGGGAGCACACTGCTGAGTGCCATCGTCATCATCCTCATCCTGCGGGGGGGCCCCTTCCGCAGCTGCCCAGGAAGAAGGAGCACAACGGGGGAGGGGGAGAGTAGCAGGATGGCGGCACAGCACCCTGAAAGGCAGCCTGGCCCAGTGGCTGAGGGGAGCCGCCCCCCACAGCAGCAAGCGCCGCCGGCGTGGTGGTCAGCAAACCTGAGCACAGCAAGGAGCGGATCATAAGCCCAGCAGGACGGAGGGGGAGCGGGGCGGTTCTCACAACAGTCCTCCAAAGTAGACCCTCACGCCTCCTCCCTTATGGGGATTGATGGGGGGATGGAGAAGGCGCCTTGTGGGTGGATGAGGGAAGGGGAAGGGTATCATGGTGGGGGGGAGAGCTGAGCTCCCCCTTCCTTAGAGTGATGATGGGGGTTTACTTCTGGGGAGGAGGTGGAGGGAAAGGGCCTGCCAAGGAGGAGGGGAGATGTGGGAGGACAGGAGGAGTGACAACAGGGGCACAGAAGGAGGGGTGGGGGTGGCCGAGAATCAGGGATCGACATTTTTAGGGGGTGGAAGGTACATGTTCTGTGCAATGCTCCCTCTAAGCTGTGGAGTCTTGTGAGCAAAAATTCTGCTTTGTGAGCTACTGAAACTTGTGAGTGAGCCATTTGGCTACTGCATAAATTAGTTTGCTCTGGAGCCATCCTTCTTGACCTAAGACAAAAATGTATAAGCCAGAGGCTAAAAAACTGTGAGCTAGCTCACACCCAACTCAGCTTAGAGGGAACACTGGTTGTTATTAGGAGAGTTGTGATTGTGCAGGCCCCCCCAGTACACACAGACACACACTTCTTGAGATGCTAGGCATTTCCAAGGAAGAAGCACCTTGTGAAGAGGTCTCGGGGCTTTATATTGCAGAGGTGGGGCATGTCATTTGGGGGCAGAGAAGGGACAGGGGCAGGCTGGAGGAGTGGCTGAGCCACCACATGAATGCCTGCTTTGGGGTCCAGGAAGGGTTGTGGTGGGTGCTGGGGCCATCTAACCCACACACTCTCAGAGATAGGGATGTGCATTCAGGCTGCTGAGGGCTGATTCAGATTCTCTGATCTGAATTGGCTTGCTGTCCAATGGCCGCCGAAATTTCGGCCCTATTCTATCCTATGGGCCATTGAAGTCAATGGGGCTGGAGGGGAGGGGGTTTGAGGGAGAGGCTCCTCTCCCCAAGATAACCACCAAGTTTCAAGAACATTGGACTAGAGAGTCCAATTTTATGGGCCCCCAAACATGTTGCCCCCATCCCCTACATTGTTCTCTATGGTGGAAAATGCACATCCCTAAGCCACAGCATGAAGCGGTGCAAGGCAGCCAGGCAAGCGGGCTGGCAGGTGAGGTGTGGCCAGGGGGCTGTGGTCCTGTGGCTGAACCTGCAACTACAGAGATTTCTCCCCTTCTCCCTCCAGTGCAAGATTGCAGACCTCGCTCACTTGCATGCGCCTGTGCCCTCATCACCGAGGAAGCTGGCTGCCAAGGGAGAGAGAAACACAGCACTCCCTCAGCTTCTGGGTTTTTCCTTCAGCTCCTGCCTTCTCAGTCCAGCCCAGTTGTACCAATGCAGGGTGCACACAAGCCACCACCAGCAGCAGAGCAGCCATCTCCATCCCGTCTGCTCACCCACCTCACCTCCTTTGGCTTGTCTCCCCGGGTGGGCTGCCACTTCCAAGTCTGAGAAGTGGTGCAGCAGAAAGCCCCCTGCAGGGCGGTGGGTGGGGGTGTGACCGAGGCAAAGTCACTGTGGAAGCACGAAGTCAGCCAGGAAGAAAGAAATAAGGAACCGAACAGGAGCCCGCCACTTTCGCCGTAGTTCCCTGCACTCCACACAGCCAATGCTTTGAGGATCTTAGCTTTGAGAAACAATGACTGAGGGGTGACATGATAAGAGGTTTACAAGACTATGCATGGGATAGAGCAGGTAGAGAAAGAAGTACTTCACCCTTTCTCACAAGACAAGAACTCGTGAGCACTCAATGAAATTGCTGAGCAGTCAGGTTAGAAGTTAGAACAGATGAAAGGAAGTACTTCACCCGAACAGTGATTAACAAATGGAATTCACTGGTACAGGAGGTGGTGATGGTGGCTGGCATGAACAACTTCCAGATGGAGCAGATAGGGGGAAAAAACCAAGGCAAGCAAGCCCCCCCCCAAGCAACTAGCAGAAGCTGTTCATGCCAGCCACCACCACCACCACCTCTCCTTCAAACCCCCTCCTCTCCAGCCTCCAGAATATACCCTATGTTTTTGCCATTGACTTTAATGGCCCATAGGATATAATAGGGCCGAAATTCACATTCGGCTGGCCAAAAGACTCCCAAATCTGCTGGTACTGTTGAAATTGACATGCAGTTTTTCTACCGGCCGAAATTGATTCTGCTCAATTTGGCCAAATCCGAATCGGGCCAAATTATTATTTTTTTGCACACTCCTACTCAAGAAAGTGCCCCATGTTCTTAGGGGCCCAGAACTGCCTTTAGCACCTCATCCTGGTTGTTGGGATTGCTGAGTAGCAGTTTGTTCTAGCTGTGGGGTGCATTAATGTGGGAGAGAACTGGCATCCAGAGCTCTTATTGGAGAAACTGGCTCCTTTTCCAACTTCTGCATCAGCTCAGGGAATGGTAGGTTAAAAAGAACCAGGCAGGAGGTGACATTACAGTGGTTGAGCCTTGAGGCATCTTTAGCATGGATCCATGTTCTCACAATTAAAAAAAAAAAAAGAAACTAGCAATTTCAATGTCTGTGTTTTTCATTCTTCCTAAAATGCATTTATGTTTGAAAATTGAAGGGCAAACGGGGGTGGGGGGTGGGGGGCGCCAGAAGGTAGCCTCGCCTAGTGTGCAAAAAAACCTGGGGTCAGCCCTGCCTGTGCCAACAGAAAATTTTCCATCTTCATCAGCAGGGGAAACCAATTATCACTCCCTAGGCCCCACGGTTTTTTGTCTACTTAAACCCTGCTGCCTCCAGCATCAGCATTTGGGAAGGGTCAACATCAGATTCTTCTAGGCTGGCTATGGTTCTACTCCTATCTCACTGGAAAGTCACAAGTGATAGTTTGGGGCAATTCCCTTCACATGGGCATTATCCTTCATACGCCACAAGGATCCAACTTATCTTGTAAGTTGTTTATCTTCAAAAGGCCACTGGGACAGATTGTCCAGAGGTCTACAGTGTTCTATGTAGCACCCCTACAACTCAGATTGTTATAGTTTATTTTTCTCTGGTTCAGAAGCAGCTGTAGGGTGTCTGAGCTAGTAGACGTGTATCACTATCATGGGCTGGATGAGGGCAAACTTTTCTACATTTTGCATAAGGTGCAATGTCGCTCTTCTGTCACACAGACACACAGAAACAACAACACAACCCCAGAGAGACCTTTGAAGTTAGGCCTTTGTGTTTTAACCATTTATGTATGTATTATAGCTCACAAAGGGCTACTTCTGAAGAGGTTTGCTGGAACATAAGGGTGAACTCTTCCAGGGATCTCTAAATATCAGGGTTACAAAAATACACACCCATGGGACTTTTAAATTTGTGAATCTACATATAAAATAAATTGATACAATTTTATAATAAAAAGTTCCATTTTTTCCCTTCACTATACAGCATTTTTAGACACCAAAAGCTTTTCCTGCAGAGCAAATTGTGGCATTTTGCTCTATAACCTGCCCACCTGACTCAGCTACTAGGTTTATAAAAATGCAATCAAGTACTAACATTTAATGAAACAAAAACTATAATCCTCCATAGATAAAACAATTGGAGCATATACAGCCTATTCAGAAGTGATTAGGGAGTCCTGTCTTCATTGTATCTGCTTCATTGTTATAGCCGTACATCTGTATACTGCAGCTGTGTGCTGATGTTACCTGGGAAAAAATCAGACCCCCCTTCCCCCAAAAAAACCTGGCATGGGATACCAGTAGAAAAGAGTAAGAGCCCAGTAGCACCTTAAAGACAAGCAAAATTTGTGGTGGGGTATGAGCTTTCACTGCAGTCAAAGATGGAGAAGCTCTATACAGTCAGTAAAAACAAGACCTGGAGCTGACTGTGGCTCAGATCATGAGCTCCTCATTGCAAAATTCAGACAAACTGAAGAAAGTTGGGAAAACCAATAGGCCAGAGGTGTCAAACATGCGGCCCCCGGAGGGCTTCTATCAGGCCCGCAGTGCAACTGGCTGTCTTCTGCTTCTTCTTCCAGTTCAGCTGCTGCTGTGTCATCGTAGGTTTGCAGCTTACAGATACCCCTGAACAGCATACTCAAGATTGCAGCAGCACAGACATTTTGATGCAATAATTCAGAGCAAGAGGTGTCAGTTATCAGAGACTTTTAAAATAAAAACATGCTTAAAACATTAGCACTCTTGCAATATTTTGTTTATTTAAGTTAAAAAAAACAACCCTTTGTGTTTGTGTCCTTTATAAAGTTTATATCTCCACTACCTGGCATTACATTTTATGGCACACATAAGGTCTCATTTATGTCAGATCCAGCCCTCATAACAAATCAGTTCGACACCCCTTCACTAAGGCCATTCAGGTTTGACCTAGATCACATCTCTTATGAATATACAGTGGAGGTGAAGAATAGGTTTAAGGGACTAGATAGAGTGCCTGAAGAACTATGGACGGAGGTTCGTGACATTGTACAGAAGGCACCAATCACCACCATCCCAAAGAAACAGAAATGCAAGAAAGGAAAGTGGCTGTCTGATGAGGCTTTACAAATAGCAGAGGAAAGAAGGAAAGTGAGAGGCAAAGGTGAAAAGGAAAGATTTACCCAACTGAATCTACATTTCCAGAGAACAGCAAGGAGAGATAAGGAGGCCTTCCAAAACGAACAATGCAAAGTAATAGAGGAAAACGATAGAATGGGAAGGACTAGAGCTCTCTTCAAGAAAATTGGAGAAATCAAGGGAACGTTCCGTGAAAAGCTGGCCATGATAAAGGACAAAAACGGTAGGGACCTAACAGAAGCAGAGGAGATTAGGAAGAGGTGGCAAGAATACACAGAAGAACTATACAAGAAGGATCTAAATGTCCTTGACAACCACGATGGTGTGATCACTGACCTTGAGCCAGACATCCTGGAGTGTGAAGTCAAATGGGCCTTAGAAAGCATTACTAACAACAAAGCTAGCAGAGATGATGGTATCCCAGCTGAGCTATTCAAAGTCTTAAAAGGTGATGCTGTTAAAGTGCTGCACTCAATATGCCAGCAAATTTGGAAAATGCAACAGTGGACACAGGATTGGAAAAGGTCAGTATACATTCCAATCCCAAAGAAGGGCAATGCCAAGGAATGTTCAAACTATCGCACAATTGCACTCATTTTACACGCTAGAATGGTCACGCTCAAGATCCTACAAGCTAGGCTTCAGCAGTACATGGATAGAGAACTGCTAGAAGTACAAGCTGGGTTTCAAAGAGGTAGAGGAACAAGAGATCAAATTGCCAACATTCACTGGATTGTGGAGAAAGCAAGGGAGTACCAGAAAACATCTACTTCTGCTTCATTGACTATTCTAAAGCAAATGGCAATAGCAGGTGTGATTGGATTAGGTGTGATATGCAGAGAGGTAGTACGCGTGGAGAAATCAGCATTGGTATGAGACAGGAAACCTAGGTCTTGATTCAATCCAAGTGGATGCATGGTGTTAAACTTCATTTTAATCTCATTACCAATGCTGATTTTGGCACGCATACTACCTCTCTGCATAGCACACCTAATTCAGTCACACCTGCTATTCTCATTTGGCATCTGAAATCACTCCACTTTCCAATATATAGGACAGGTAGACTCCCATTATAGCTGTATCTGAAGAAGTGAGCAGTGACTCACGAAAGCTCACACCCTGCCACATATTTTGCTAGTCTTTAAGGTGCTATTTTCTACTGCTACAGACAGATTAACACAGCCACCCATCTTGATCTACCTCCATGGGATACCAGTAAGAGAAAAAAAATTAAATCACATAAACCCAATCTTAACAAAATGAATGCCACAGGAATGTATATACTACTTGTAATATGAAATACCATATACCACAAATGGAGCACACATGTGGCAAACATTTCAAAACTCTAAACTTAAGCAAGCAGGGGAAGAATACAAATTTAATTTGCTGGCATTTGCTGGGGCTGTCTTTCAAAACAGTCCAGAAACTTCAGTTGGCCCAAAATACAGCAGCCAAGCATATAGCAGTCATGGGTTGGTTATAGAGATTGCATCACCCCTGCCCCAATCTGTACCTTTTTTCCACGGCCACCAAATCACAGCCAACATATGGCAACCCCAGAGGGTTTTCAAGGCAAGAGACATTCAGAGGTGGTTTGCCATTGCCTGTCTCTGTATCACAATCGTGGTATTCCTCGGAGGTCTCCCATCCAAGAACTAACCAGAGCAGACTTTGCTTAGCTTCTGAGATGTGATGAGATCAGGCTAGCCTAGGCTATCCAGAGTAGGGGATGCACTGGTTACCCATCTATATCTCGGCACTATTCAAAGTGTGAGTTCTTACCTTTAAAGCCCTAAATGGCTTGGAGCCCAGGTACTTGAAGGAACATCCCCTCCTGTACTACCCAGCCCGCCAACCCCATAGGGTTTTCAAGGCAAGAGACATTCAGAGGTGGTTTGCCATTGCCTGTCTCTGTATCACAATCGTGGTATTCCTCGGAGGTCTCCCATCCAAGAACTAACCAGAGCAGACTTTGCTTAGCTTCTGAGATGTGATGAGATCAGGCTAGCCTAGGCTATCCAGAGTAGGCCATGCACTGGTTACCCATCTATATATCGGCACTATTCAAAGTCTGAGTTCTTACCTTTAAAGCCATAAATGGCTTGGAGCCCAGGTACCTGAAGGAACATCCCCTCCTGTACTACCCAGCCCGCCAGTCAACTACTCGCAACAGAGTCACAGAAACATCTGCTGTGTAGGGGCTGCTTAAAAGGGAATCTATGTGCTCAAATCTACTGCTGCAATCACTATCTGATAGGTACCTAAGATTAAGTGATTAAGGTTATCAGAAAACTTGGCAGTGATACTTGTGTTGTTAATAACCACGAGGGGGTACCATGTGGGTAAAAACTGTATATTCTAACTAGCACATGGGGCAACAGCAAAAGTGGCAGAAAATATCTAACGAGGTGTTAAGAATCTTCTTTCAAGTATACCATGACTTCAGAGGTATAGAAAATACATGAACCACTTTTTGTGTTCTTTGAACAGAACTGAAAACACCTATTTTCCTGAAGAAGTATGATCTACAATGTATTATTAACAGCTACTTACTTTGAGGGTAGATGCTGTTGCTTTGATAATGAAGTCATTTACTGATACTTTAATGTTATCTGGGGGGGAGAGAGAGAAGTTACAATGTGTGGTTTCAGATAATACAAATTAATCTCTGTTATTAATAAACTAGCATTTTAGAATCATTAGCTAAACAGAAGAATGAGCTCTTACAGAATTGAACTGTCAAAAATATTACACAAATTACTATGTTTGTTTTCCATATCGAGGACCATTGATCTAAATCAACATTATACCCAAATTTTGTGCCCATTTAACCATTGAGCATTTTACCACTTCATCTTGAGTTTTAATTTCTAACGCTATAGCATACAATTTCTTAATAAGCTTATCATCCATATAAACCAATAGATAGTGAGATTCTCCCATTCAATGTTTTTTTCGTTTGCTTGTTTCTGTTTGTTTGTTATAAAATAAAAAATATTATATTTAAAAAATATTACACAAATTACTTATCCTTACAGTGCAAATACTTTTATAGCAGTATAAACAGGAACTTTAGGTGCTCTGGATTTTATCCATTCTAGGCACTGGGAGCGGGTGGAGATGGATGCTGTATCAGGGAATCTGAAGCTCTCCAAGAGTTCAGACCAAGAAAGCTTTTTCATGACCTATCCCAGCTGGAATTCAAGGCGAATTTAAGGGAGTTCATCTCTAACAGTAGCTGAGACCCACTCTGATGTACTGGCATTAAGTCCCATCCTGCCACAATGACAGGTGAAATTTCATCTCACCATCAGAACGATTAGCCTTCCTACACTTTAAGGGACATGAACCAACACTGCTAGTAACCCTGGTCCAGCCTTTACAACCCACACCACAGTGCTAGTGAATCCTGGGCTAAGATCACCTGACTGAGTTATAGCACATGACTCAAGGAAACAATTACAAAGCCTCAGGCTCCATAAACCATAGGCTTGCTGACTACCTTCCAGCCTGGACAACTTATCAGCAAGCGAGAACCTGTCTCAGACTGAGCCCAGCTCAGCTTCCCTTCCTTTAACTAGTCTGTCTTCTTGGAATTCTACCCTGCCTGCCTTAGGCTGCATTTTTCACCCCTGGCCTTTGCACTCTGGTCTGCTCACTCAGGCTCCTGACCATCAGCCTGTTATCAGCTGTGCTTCTTTCCTCTGACCCTGAGCCTTGAACCGCATCCAGGCTCCTGGCATATACTTACCCCCATCCTGCTCTGAACTGTGCATGAATATCAGCTACACATAGGTGGAGCTTAGCATGCATGTTTCTGACCCAAGGAAGGTTAGAAAGACCCAGGAGGCCTTACTTGCTGATGCACAGGATCATGACAGCAAGCTATAAATATGCTTGCTAGATATTAGTCTTCCATTCCAGCGAGATGCTGGTTTATCATGTAACTTATTATTCAAGATAAATACACAGAATAGTGCTGAGGCTTAAAATGAGGGGAAATGCCAATCATTCAGGATGCGAAACAGTGTTATTATGTCAATATTTCATTTACAGTGAATATATTAAAATCCACTTCCTTTTAAAAACAGTATGTTGGAGGCTTCAGAGCTGCTTCAATAATATATGAAGGCCTGCAGGGCATTTTATAACACTAAGAATTGTATTAAATAATCTATAAAGTATGATTTTCCATATGGAACAGTTTTCTAGATGAAAGTGACATAGTTCCACACAAACTATGGCACATAAATAATTTCATACACCTGCCTGTTGAAGTGCAGTTGATGTTAAAAAAGCAGAGTTACAGAAAAATAAAATAAACTTCATTCAGCAGAAACTGATTGAAAAATATGGTTTACAGAATACTGAAAGAATCTGTAAACTGATGGTGGTAACAATCAGAGTACCCATAATTTTATCACATACCACAAAGGGTCTGGCAAATGAATGGCAATTTAAGTGTGTTACGTATTGATATAAAGATCTCCTGAAAGGTTTTAAAATAAAAAAGACACATTTCACTGTTTCTTTCAATATCCTATGATGCATGAACTGAAAGCCTCAAAAAGATTATCTCATATAACAGTTCAGCTGTAAACAAGAAACTTGCCTTTCTGCAATAGCCCTCTGGGGCCTTATGCTGTTCAGACTACTGAGGTGGAGGCATCTGCACATCCTGAAACTGGGTTAAGAATAATAGAGAGCAGGTAGGAATTCCACTGCATGACTGGGAAGTCTAAAATGTATAAGACAAAGCTTGTTTTTTTAATCCCTTAGTTAACAATTTGGCCTGAAGGGATGCAGTGACCTTGAGAGGTCTGGATTTTTCCAGCACATACAATAATGAATGTCCTAATATTGCTGAGACAATATGGAACTCTCTTTCCCCAAAGTTGCAGGTAAAAATCTGTGTTCACTAAAGTATCAGAACTTTTATTTATTTATTTATTTATTACATTTATATCCCGCCCTTCCTGCCATGGCAGGCTCAGGGCGGCTAACAAACATATATATAAATGCATACATTAAAAACTCCAAAAATATGCTAAAAGCAAAGTTAAGATTACAATATAAAACCATAACTACTCAACACATAACTATAATGAGAGATGGCGACGTTCTGTCAGCATTTGAATGGCCGCCTACACCCTAGTCCAGGCTCCTGCCAGGCTGTTAGTCGTCCAGTTGGTGGTGATGTTGATGTTTGGGCCAGGGCCATGATGTTAAGGCGGCACCCTACTTGAAAGCCTGGTGGAAGAGCTCCGTTTTACAGGCTCTGCGGAACTGCAAAAGGTCCCACAGCGCCCTGATGTCATCCAGGAGCTCATTCCACCAGTGAGGGGCTGCCACAGAAAAGGCCCTGGCCCTCGTTGTGGCCAGCCTGGCCTCTTTAGGGCCCGGAGGAACCAGGCTATTTTAGGGGGGAAACTAGAACAAGATACAAGCTATTCTGTGTAGAGAGAGCAGCAAAGACCACCAATGCAGTGTATCCTCAGACTTCCTGTACAATCGTCTCAAAGGCACATGTGATACTTTTACTGATTTAGATACTCAGAAACTCCTTCCATTAGGGTTGCCAACCTCCAGATGATGGCTGGAGATCTCCTGCTATTACAACGGATCTACAGGCGACAGGTATCAATTCACCTGGAGAAAATGGTTGCTTTAGAAGGTGGACTCTATGGCATTTTACCCAACTGAAGTCTCTTCCCTCCCCAAGCCCCACCCTCGGTAGGCTCCACCTCCCAAATTTCCAGGTATTTCCCAACCCGGAGCTGGCAACCCTACCTCCCATATTTATTTTACTACAGCTGTATTGAACTTTAATGATTCACTGCAAAAGTTTCAGCATACAAGTTAGGTATGTGTCACTTGGTGTGTCTGAAAGTATATAGCAGGGGAAGGAAATTAATTTGCTTCCAAAGCTAGCATAATTGCCTCTGCTAATTACAATGGATGGAGTCAAAGAAACTAATTCCATATAGTTACTACCAATCCAGAACAATGATTAACTTACTGTCTTGGGATTTTTTTTCAGAGTTTGTTTTGGGGAGGAGTGGTCCCAAAAATTTGTCTTGGGTATATCCAGTTGCACGCCCCTAGCAATGATGCTTTTCAGTTTTCCAGAAGCCTCATTCCCCCAGTTCTGCTATCGCACTGAGGTTTGTTGATCTCTAAAGTGAAACAGATTGTCTTCATTAAGGACAATCTACAGCAGGGGCATCAAACTCATTTGTTATGAGAGCCAGATCTGACATAAATGAGACCTTGTTGGGCTTGGCCATGTGTGTCATAAAATGTAATGCCAGGTAGTGGAGATATAACCTTTATAAAGGACACAAACACAGTTAAAGATTTTTTAAACTTTAAATAAAACATGCTTAAAACACTAGCACTCTTGCAATGTTTTGTTTATTGAAAAGTCTCTGATAACTGATACCTATTGTTATGAACCATTGCATTAAAATGTCTGTGCTGTAGCAATCTTGAATATGCTATTCAGGTGTGTATCTGTAAGCTGCAAACCTACTTTTGATTTATTGACATTTATTACAGAAATCTCATGCTCAGTGTTCTGAGCCTAGAACTCAGGGGGAAACATGAAATGGCTGGGCATTGTGAGCTTTTGTACATAAATTGGTTTGTGTGCTGGTCAAGAACATGAGAAGGGATCCTGACACAGACTGAGGGCTATGAACTTGTCTACAAAACTATAATCTTCCCCAGAGAAATAATTACAACTCTTATGAGCCAGTGCAAGAACAGAGAGACAGCCATGTATAGTGGTCAGTATCAGCCTACTATCTGGGAAGTCTAGGTTCAAAATCTCCAGCCTACAAAGGAAATGTGCTGGCTGAACTTGGTCTGGACACACACTCTCAGCCTAATCCACCTCACTGACTTGTTGTTATTCCTCATCTAAATAGTTCACATTGCTTTCCTACTGAGAAAGACTGGATCATGGGGGCATGAATTCAGTGAAAAGGAGGAGGGAACCCAGTTGCCCGGGCATAATGAGCTCAACAAAACATACACTGTAGCGAGGCACACCAAAACTGATACCTTGAATATAATTTTGTTGGTCTTAAAAGTGCTTCGTACTGAGGCAGCCTGGCCAGGAAGCTCTGGCTTGTTCCCTCCCTCCCCCCAGGAGAAGGAGACCGAGGCGCCTCAGCCAATGCAGGGAACAGAAGCTTGCCTATGTATCTTTCCTGTGTGACTGAGAGAGTCTGGTAAAGCAAGCTGCCATGCAGCAGCAGCAGCAGAACTGGAGAAAGAAGCAGGAGACAGCCACTTCCTTGCGGGCCGGATAGGAGCCCTCTGAGGGCCTGATCCAGCCCACAGTTTCATGTTTGACACCCCTGAGCTACAATTTGCTTGTAATGTGAACAAGCATGAAATCCTCAAGGTCACATGCTCCCTCCCCCTTGGGCATGGAAGCAAGACAGAGAGGCAGAGGAAGGAACAGCAGCTGGGACTGCTTTAACTGAGATGCCCCCTTCCAATGACTTGTTAAATTTATTTCTGGGGGAGACAGTATATCCACCAGGTACACTGTGAAATATAAAGAGACCATCTAAAGGCTGGGCTGCAGACTTTGCCTTTTATT